TCCACAATGCTGTTGCACACTTAGTAGACCCAGTATAGTGTAAATATAACCCAGTATAGTATAAATATAGCCTTTATATGTTCAAGTCACATTCCTTTGACTTGCTTTATAGCAGTGGTCAGTAACCAAAACTACTGCAGTGTACCTTTAAAAGAGTTCATGTGCATTTTTCCCTTAGCCAGGTAAATATTCCGTTAAGTACTCAGCCAGTTATTACTTTTATTAGCATCTTTGACAGATTTTTTTTCATCTTCTTTTGTTTTTCCTGTCTGTAATTCGTATTGCTTCTCTTGCAGCCTTTTTCTTTAATCTTATAGGTTGAGAGAGGAGACAGGGCCAGGAGGGATAACTCCTGTTCTCATATTATTAATTCTATTTGTGTGCTAATTTTGATTACTTATTATTTGCTTTAAAGGCGATTTGAAGCACTACTTCTGAGTGGAAAAAGTCCCACTTCTGAATTGCTGTTTGACTGGGGCACCACAAATTGCACCGTTGGTGATCTCGTGGATCTTTTGGTCCAAAATGAGTTTCTTGCCCCTGCAAGTCTTCTGCTACCAGGTAATCTGAAGATGTCGACAACTAGGATGAAAAGGCAAAGGACAGAAAGAGAACTATTTCTACCTAGCCTTAGAGTTTTCACAATGGGTTATCTAGTTATCTAGTGCTGCCACAAGTGGATGGCTTTCATCAGCATGAACTTACACTCTCACCATTGGGAGTCTGAATTCAGGGCCCTCGGTCTATGGAAAGGCTTCTGCTCTCTGTCAGTTTCTAGTTTAGGAGGAAGATCCTTTTCTCTTTTCAGCATCTTGGGGGGCCCAGTGTTCCTTAGAGATCTCTATGTGCCTTAGCATCCTTCTTCTCCTGGAACTAGGATGTTCTCAGCACAGGGACAAGGGGATTAAAGGACATGCTCCACTCCCAGTTTTTCCTTCCTGGTGGTAAGGAGGTCTCTTTTTCAGGTTTCTTGTTAAATCTTTTTTATTTCTCAAATGAGATTGAATGATGAGAACAGCCTAACCCTGGAGATTGCATCCTGCCTCATGATCATAACTCCCTCTGATCCTCATTTACATTGTAGAGTTTAGGATTTACAACACAGAGGATAATTGCATCAGATCACAAAATAGAGGGTAATTGCATAATAATTGCATGATAATCATGGACACATAATGGGTAGGTTGGGGAACATAGTTCAATCCATAATGGCCAGTGAACCTTACTTTCATGCATACGGTTCTATTCACTGTTTCAGCCCTCCCCAGTCCTCTGGAGTGCCACAGACAGAGGCCACTAGAGTCGGCTGCTCAGGTGGTAGAAGACTTCTTCATGAAATTGGCTCCCATTAGAAAGTCAGGCTGCTTTGAACCCACTGGGTCTTGAAAAGAGGATAGGTCTCAGACTCCTACTTGGAGCAGTAGGAAGTTAGCTCCTGCTCAAGTCTGTGTTCTTGAAGCACCACGGGAGATTCTGGTATTTGTGGTTCACCGAATACTCTGACTACACTGCTTTCCACTGTCCTCCTAGTTAGCACATCCTGCAAGTCCTCACATGGTTGCTTGTGATTTCTGTGAGATTATGGAGCTAATGTGGAAACAGATGGTGCTAACTTAACTGAGTTCCTCATGGAACTTTGTTAATAGAATTTTTTTTCATTGAAGGTCAACTGATAGCATATTTCATTTAGCAGATGCTGTCCCCAAAACTGTGACAACACTCCCTTGTCCAGAAGCTGTAACAGCTCAGCAGAAGCAGGCCCCTCTCTATGACAAAGATGGACCTTCCGCGATGCCAGTGCTGAATCTTGACCAAAGCCATGTGCCTCCTGACTCCTCAAGTGCAGAGAGTGAGAGTTTCGGAGTTAGTGACACACGTAAGTATCTTTTTAGTACTTTCAACCTGTGAACTTGCCATGAAGGCCATCATCGCTTTAAAACAAATCTTCCCTTTTATCTGTGCAGGAGCTCTGGTGGTATAGTGGTTACACATTGGGCTTCTAACTTCAAGGTCAGCAGTTCGAAACCACCAGCCGTTCCTCGGGGGGCAAAATGAGGCATCCTACTCCTGTAAAGAGTTACAGTGTCGGAAACCTGCAGGGGCAGTTCCTCCCTGGGCTAGTGGGTCAGAATTGATGTGATGGCAGTGAATTTGGATTGGTTGGGTTTCTGTGCAGTGGGCGGAGGCACAGTGGCAACTGTGCTTTTGTAGTTTTTGTTTTTCTCCATACTACCTTCCCTGTGTTAGTGCACTAACAGTGAGTGGAGATCGTAAGGCTTGCAAACTACCACAGAGGCTATGAAAAAATAAGTAAATATTTACATAAGTTGGCAAGATCTTTTTTTATTGCAAATTAGATGGGGGTTTACATTCCATATCAACAACTTTGTATTCAACAGTTTAAATAACTAATCAGCCCCCTTGTTAGTTGACCCCACAACTCACCCCCTGATTTCTCCCCTCCCATGATCTTTTTTTTTTTTTTAAGGGGAACTGGGGAGCAAATAATGAGTGTGGGGAGATGGAAGGGGCGGAGCTCTAACACTTATTGTGATGATGTATATACAACCCTTCTTTCCAGCAAGTCTCTGTTGGAATCAGCCTAGAACCAAATAGTATCCTCAAGGTAGAGCTTACCAGTTGTCTTTTTTAATGGTTTTTCTCTCTTCCATTTGCCTAATCAAAAACTGTAACTATTTCTACAAATCTTTAGGAGTAGAAAATATTGAAAGTACTAAAATCAAACATTTTTTTGTTTTACCCAGGCCCTCATTTCCTTATTTTATTGGCACAGGTTTTCACAGTTTTTCATTTTATGAATTGAAGAATGTCACAAATAACTTTGATGAGCGGCCGCTTTCCGCTGGTGGTAATAAAATGGGAGAAGGAGGATTTGGAGTTGTGTATAAAGGCCAAGTGAATAACAGAACCGTGGCAGTGAAGAAGCTGGCATCAGTGAGTTATATTTTGAAGGATAAAAAGAGTTAAGGGGAGAACTGCTCCCTCTCATGCTTTATCAGTTTGAAATGAGTTATTAGGAAATATAATAATTAACTGTATATACATATTTTTGGTAAAAACATTATTCTAAGTATGGTAGTTATTAATTTAAAAATTATTTCAAAGCTATAGGCCTGACCCCTAGATAGATACATATGTGTATAAAAAAGTGTGTAGGTAGGTAGGTAGGTGGGTTAGGTGGGTGGAGGGATGGAT